CCATGGGGGACAGCTAACCCTGGTACATTCTCTTCATTCTGAAAGTAGCTTTGTAGTCAGGTGTGGTGTCACACTCCTGTAACCTTAGAACTCATCAAGCAGAGATGGATCTCTGCAAGTTCTAGGAGCCTTAGTCTACATTGTGAGTTCCCAGCCAGTCAGGGTTACAAACCAAGATGGTGTCTTGGGTTTGAATCACATGGCCTATTCCATGAATATCCACTTCATGATGGAAAAAAATGCATGTTAAACACCTGACTTTACATGTCTAGCTACTCCAAAATGTGGAAAATAGATACACACATGTTCATGACATGATCATATCAGATTTTTGAGAAATACACCTATGTTTTCTAATGCATCTCAGGAAATGAGAACATTTGTTACAAGAGTATAGAAGAAATGAGGAAACCTATAGCCGTCTGCCTTTCTTTTCCTGAAATACACCACTAGTGACAGTGGCAATGCAGGGCCAGTAACCCTCTAAGACGTATTGAGATGTGGCCTTTCTCATGTGCTGTTGCCTTGACTATTCATTTTGCATGGAATTCTTTGAGATTCATTAACTTGTATTTATGTGTACGGGTATTTTGTCTGCTTTCTGTGCACCATGAGCAATCAGTTTATACTGAAGCCAGAAAGGGCAGTGGATTCTACATGGAACTGGAGTCACAGAAGATTGTTAGCTACTCTGCGGGTCCTCTGCGAGAGCTACACACCCTCTTCAAGAATGAATGATCTCTCTGGCCCCTGCACTTGACTTTTGTCCTTCTGGCCTTCTAGTGTATTTATTAGTTGGACAGGATTAGACCTAACTGAAGAGAGATATTTCTGGAGAATTGTAGGGACAGGACAATGAGGTAGGCATGGGAGACTGCTTGAGATGCCAGGCATTCAAGCAGAGTGCTCCTGGGTTCAGGATCATCGCTCAGCATCTCTTAAGTCAGATTTGTAGCAGTTATGTCACCTCTCATTTAGATGACAATGCAGAGTAGGCCCATCAGATGAAATGCAGACTTTTATGACCCGCCTGGGGATGGAGATGGGGTAAGATATAACTGTGATGCACCAGATAAGCAGTGTTAAGTAGAAACTTCACATTTACCTGGGTGGATGGAACCTCCAGCAAAGCCACATGCCTCTGGTGCAGAGTGTGTCTCTGCAAGGCTTGAAAGGGAGACGGATGGTTGATGCTACTCTTTTACCACAGCAGATGCCACAGTGTATTGAGGAAAGGTTTCTTTTAGATGAGGCTTTATTCTTCTGAAGTTTTCCTGGAATGGATCTGACCTGAGACTCACAGTAGGTCAGAGATTTAATGTGTGAAGGAATTATCCTTGTAAGTTCCAGTCTCTTTCTCTCAAACCACAGATTTTAAGATCTCTAAAGACAGAGAAGCATGTGATTCATTTCAGTTCCTCCCTTTCATGGGTCACTTTCTCATTCTGCACTGACTCTGACACAGAACCTGTAGACACACTGGAACCAGCTGAGACTTCATTCATCCTACACTACCAATCACCAACTTGTGGCATGTGTCTTCCTGTCCATCTTTCCATTACTGGTAAGGAGCCTATGTTTGGCCGTTCCTTATGCCATGTGAATCCTCAGCATAGTTCTTGGCTCTAATCATAAATGCTACCAGATAGATTACATGGCTTCTTCTCCTTGCATTTGTTCATCGATAACAGTTTACTATCAGCCTTTCTCAGACTAAACTATGCAGAGTGTGTAATGTGGACTGGGGCACTTCTTCTATCTCAGATAAGCATGCGTAGTCTTATAAAAATTCTTTCAGCTACTCCAGTGGACCATTCTTATGGAGATTATTTTGATAGTTAAAGTTCATCTTGTTTTCTGCCATCTAGTAGTTGTAGCAGATGAATGGAGTTATAATTCAGGAATATAACTTAGAGACAGAATATTTGCCTAGCAAATACATGTGCTAAGTTCAATCTTAGTACATTATGGATGATGGGGATGTAAAATGAACACTGTTACATCTTATGGAGTGTCATACAGTGAACTGGAGGTTTCCTAGAAGCTTCTAAAGTCCTCCCACCTCTATCTCTTTCCTTTAGTTAACTGTGGTAAACATTCATTTTGATGATGAATATTTCTAGGAAAGTACATATATACACAGAGATCATAAACATAGATATGTAGCATGTTAAAATCTGTGGTTTGGGTGATGGATTGGAAAATTACTAAGCAGGTAAAGATAATGCAGACAAGTCTAGAGACATGCAATTGTACCCCTGATACCCAACTTATTGATGACAAGAATAAACATATGCCACAAATTGTTCTCTGAATGGTATGTAGTTGGGGATGCCAGGTTTGGCCCACTGAAGCTGAGACAACTGTCTTCCCATTCCTCACTTATGATAGAATCTCGCCAACTGATGCACACATATAAATATATTACTATGTATTTCATTTGAGTGATTTGGGACCTTTTCTCATTTTACCTTGGCTACACAAATCATAGAAATGAAGAAGGCCAATAGCAAAACACCATGAGAAAAACAGATTAAGAGAATGTGTTTATCTCAAATTTGTAGATTTGCTAAGACCTTTGTTACGCTCCAAATGCCCCAACACATCTATAGATGCATGGCTAACCATGATTTATTGTGTCCTTATTTTCTCCAAGAGCCCATACATGTGGAGAATGCAAGACAGTCTCTATGGCTTGTCCATGCCAAACTGGAGCTGACTGACTCCTCAAATGAGGGTAACATGTTCTGAATGTTTCAAAATTGGTCCAGGTCCTTCTGTTGCCATCCATATTCCTCTTAGCTGTGAGCAGTCTATACACCACCCAGAGCCAAGGAATTCACAGAATTAGCACTCCTGAGTATGACCCTGGTATGAACATGGGGAGAGTAGAGAACTAATGGTTATAACTTATCCATTGACACACAACCTTGCTCTGCACATGTGTGCAAACACATATATAAATATACAGATGAATAAATGTAATAAAAGTTTTTGAGAACAGAATTCCATACCAGGCAGCTCTCAACCTTGTCTTTTTAAGAGACACAGACATTTATGGCAAAATCATGAAGGAAAACCATGTTTTCCTTGAGATTTTTAAACAAATGTTCAATGAAAGAAGGTGAGGCTGCCAGAATGATGCTAGGGAGGGGACCACAAAGGCTTTGGAGGTTATAGAAGTTTTGTTTCATACAGTGAGGAAGAAGACTTGGATCTGTGTATGACAACAGACACACACATCTCTGATGTTTTGTAAATGGACAGAGACCCTCAGTGAGGAAACACTGAGAACATTCAATGTTGTGACAGTAGAGGGGAGACAATGTCCTTCCCCCTTCATTCCCTGCTGTCTGTGTCACATTCCACTACCATTTAGCGCTTACTGCATTCTATTTGTATTATTGTTAGCTGTTAACAATCTCTTTTTCTACCCATAATTTGTTCATTCAGCTGACAATTATGGGAGGTTATTAAAGTGTCAGCAGGTACGAAGGGGTAACACTGAAGAGAACATCCAATAAAGAGGAGCTACCAGGCATGGTGGTGTGGTGACATGCCACTAATCCCAACACCAGAGAAGCAGTCACAGAATGATCAGGAGTCTGAGGCAAGCTTGGGCCTCCCTAAGACAATAATATAAATAAACGTGAAGAACAGCCTCTCTTCACTGTGGAGAGAGAGCTGATGGAGTAGTATGCGGAAACATGGGCTGACTTGGCCCTGTGTACTCTCAGTTCTGTCTCCCAGAACAGGTAGCAGTTGGGGAGCTGAAGCCTCTTATTTGATAGACCAGCCTGGA